CGCGGGGGGGCGCGCCACATCACTCCGCGAACCGAATCTCTCGACAGAACCGTCAAACTCAGCCGGGCATCGTCTCAATGCGCCGCGCACATGCACAGCGGCGCGCCGGTCGTCATTCGATTGGGATTATGATGGGATTTCCGAAGGGGATTTTGACGGGATTTTGAAGGGATTTCGAGCGTGGCGAGGGGATTTTGAGGGGATGTTGAGGGGATTCCGAGCGCGACGAGGGGATTTTGAGGGGATCCGGCCCACTTGCGAGGGCGCCGAGGAATTTTGAAGGGATTTTGAGGGGATGCGGATTTCGAATCGATCCCGAAGGGATTTTGAGGGAATCTTGTCGCGAGATGACCATGGAACGATGTCGCTGGCCGCGGTGACAGTGGCATGGCGAGACAGCTTACCTGGAGCGATGGCTGCTGCGCACATGATATTGCTGACGCCTGAGAGGGCAGAGGAAACAGAGGAATAGCTTAGAATAAGAAATTCGGCAAAGGAGCAATGGCGCAGCGAGACGGGGGCGGCAATGGCGCGCAACGCAATGGCGACAAGAATGCCAGGGCCGAGCGCGACGCCGAAGTGCGCGGATATCTTGGCACCGAGACAGAACGCATCGCGAGGGCCCGACGAACTGGTTGCAGATATGATAGCCTGCCATGGTTCATGCGTCATCATGGCTCTTGCGCCCCACTCGGATTTGGGAAATGTTTGGCCCCTACAACGCCCCCACCACGATTTGGGGCATGGAGTTGTGGAACTTTCGTAGGACCACGCCTGCCGCATTCTGGGCGAGCTGAGCAGAATTTCTTCTCGAGCTCTTACACTGGTTCCCCAGCGAGGCCCGGAGTAGCGTTTTCCATTTATCGGCAATTCAGAATACTCATGCGCACGCAGTGCTGCGTGAACCTGCGCGCTTGGTTCATGCTGAACGAGGCGGGACAAAGGGGGGCGAACGGAACGGCCCACATGGAATGACATTGCAACCGGCCTCCAGGACCGCCGGGCCCAATAGAAGAACCTCCACGTTAGGGGAATGGGCGCATGGGCGGCACTTCCACGCGTCGAGTGCGCTAACGGCTACAATCATGCACGGGCCCATTTTCGAGCGCCCGGCTCACGGTTTGCCCCGCGACACCCGCGACGACTTGCGACAGCGATGCGGTTTTTCATGATTGGTCGACAACGAGAGGGCTCGCCCCCACGCGTGCCACACCAGAATGATAGCGGCATGGAGGCTAATCATACCGGATCGCAATGTTGAGTGGCTTCTGCAGAATAGCCACGCCAGTTGGGGATTTACAGCGGCTCGACCTTATTGTGCCAGGCTTATCGGTGGCATGATTTCACGCAGTGGCATAACACGTCCAAGGACAAGCAACCAAAGAGGTTGCTTATTACATGACGAAGAACGCAAGAATAATTCCATTTGTCATGAGTTCGTGACGACTGGACTAGGGCCTAGGGAAGCTTTAATTTTGGAGCAACAATGAATTCAATAACCGAACACGAGTTTCAATAACCAGACGCGAATCTTAATAACAGTTGCCGCGGGTTTCACAGCCAGCAGTAGCTTCATTAACTTCAATAGCTATGGATAACAAACATATCATATATATATCATCATCATCATCTCCACGACTCGCCAGCTCAAGGGCCCACCTGAAATCCATGGACAAGCGAAGCAAAGGCGAAGCGGAGGGCGCGCGGAGCAACATCAAAATGGAGAGAAACAAAACCAGCAAACAATGACGAGGAGGAGGAGGAAGAGGACGAGGAGGAGGAATACAAGTATTAATACTCCGCGGGCCGTGAGCGCTTCTCCTCTGCAACCGAGGCCAGGCTGAGACACGCGCGGGCGAGGAAATGCAGAAGGAGGAGGACAGGTAACCGCTCAGCCGCGGTTGCCACCTGGGTTCCCAGGAGGGGCCACTCCCAGGAATAAAAGCGCTTCGACGATGCACTTGACTGGGGTCTCAAGAGGAGCCGCCCTCAGCAATGCGCGCACGCCGAGGGCGCCCTCGAAAATGGAGGCCCTGCACCATGAAAACCGCAGCAGCCTCCATTAGACCAACATGGTCTGAAAGCAAGAATAACAGCTGCGAGAAAGTTAGAAGCTGCTGGTGCCGGTCGTCTCGCTAGCAATCGCGACGCGTCCCTTCGGGAGAATGCCGCGCGCCAACTTGCCCCGATTCTGATATCCGTAGTGCTCAAGATGTCTGCTACACTCATCTGCAAGTCCTCTCAAGTAGTGCTCGCCGACGCACCCACGCTTCAGGCCCGCGTGGATCTTGGGGCCACCGAAGCAACCCAGCAAATCAGATAAGATACGTGCATCGGTACTCATTGCATCACCACTCCAACGTCTCCAACTCATTGAATATTGCCCTTGACAACACCGCCCACACAGGGCGTCTCCAAAAACGTCTCCCATTTCCGTCCACTAGCACTGCGACCACACGCAGAACGATGGAAGGCCGTGCCCATACCAGTGTACTTGGTGATCCGACATCGTGAGCTTGCGCCGAACACTAACTGCCATCGAACGCGTTGGGCGCAGCCTCTTCGGCCCCGCCTCCGCTTCTGCCAAGAAGGCCTTGGCCAGGTGCTTCCGCGCTGCTCTGCCGATCGCTTCGGCGTGCCCCACTCCCGCCACCGCCGCATTTGGAACCGCGCATTTCTTCTCAGCCCAAAAGCCCGCCGCTTCATCAGCCATAGCATTGGCCAGGTAGCGCCCCACCATGGCGCCAGCGTTCGCGGCCTCTTCCACTGACATGCGGCTCTCGGTGTTGACCACATTGAGCAGTGACGGGCGCGGCATCAGCACCTGCTTCGGCTTCAGCCAGAGATCCAAGTTTGTCGTCGGAGGCCGACCTGCGTTGAGCTCGGCTAAGCCCTTCGCGGCGCATCCCGAGTCAGTGACAAAGGTGATGGGCGCGCCAAGCCAAGATCCCCCACCACCCTGAGCAGAGCCGTCGTCTCACCCCTGCCGATGGTTTGCTTCATGGGAACGCCACCACCTCGGGAATGCAACAGCTTGACATCCAAGGCAAGTTCGCGGTGGACCTGGATAACTTGGGGTCGTGGGTCTGCAATTTGCGCACCACCTGACGCATCACCTCCGACAACTAGGCACCCGCAGCCTCGAAGATCCGCCACGTGGCCCATAACCTCGTCGAAGGAGAGTCTGTCGGCTCATCCACTTGCGTCCAAGACGAAGGTAAGACCCCTCGAAGCCAAAGGCAAGGCAGCTCTTCATAATCTTCATGAGCACGTCGGGTAAGCGTCTGTGAGATGGTAGAAAAGAGCTCATTGCAAGAACAGGACCAGTTGCAATGAAGATCCGTCTCCTCTTCGACACATGCGCGTCCCTGGCAGTCCGCGGAGTCCAACTTGCTGCTGCTCAGGGTGGCTGTCCTTTTGCGTGTCCAAGAGGCCCCCGTCATGACTGTTTCGATTGCACCCGCTGTCTCAGGTCCCCCTTTCGTGCTCAAGGAAGCGAGGTACCGACGCGCATCGCGCAGATCTGCTCTTTCTGATAGGCCCTTGCCATTCTAGTGCCTCGAAGTCCCGCCCCAAAGCGTCCTATCGATGGCGTCCGAGATGGCATCTTTGAGGGCACTCATGATGTCCTGGGGACCTTTCCCAACGATACTACCTGGTGCCATGACACGCCCCCCGGCATCCGAGATCCATGCCCAAGGTCCAACAGGGCCCCAGCCTATGTCAAATGTTGTGGCGATCGTAGCAGATACCACCCCAGTGATACCACACCATCTGTCTTTCTGCGCTCTGTTGTCGATCCGCCTCCTAGCCGTGCGCCGCGTTCGTCCATCCAACTCCAGATCGACCCCATGTTTGAAGATGGCGGACACCCAGGACTCTATCGATCTATGCATTATCTGGCATTGCGGGCCCTTCCCCCCCACGCGAAGTTGCAGCAGGGTGGCGAGGCAACGACCGGGCCACTTCTTAGCCAGAGTCTGCCCGAGCGCCTTCCTCCAGCCGTTGGCAATTGAGGGGGCAGCGCCGAACGCGCGGTCCGAATGGTCCGCCATCGGTAAGACTCCCATCATAGCGAGCTTGGCTCTTATCTTCTTCCGAGCAGCCCCCCTGCGAAAAACGCTCGACATGGTTGAACCGATGATGTGCCCCACGTCGGCGTTGAGCTTGCTTGGGGCGCCGAAAGCCAATTGTACCCCGATCAATGCCAAGGTCCGCGGCGACGTTCTCGATCTTGACCGCGAAGCCTTTATTTGGCAAACGGCGGTAGATTTTGACGAGAAGACCAAACCCGCACCGGAGCAACCTTTGGCAAATGTGAGTCCTGCCTGCAAGGCCAGGCCAACGGCCCTCTTGCACCTGCCCTCCACGCGCTGAGAAACATCGTCCACCCAGGACCGTGTTGATATTCCTGGCGTACCTCGGGTTACTCTGTCAAGAATGCTGTACAACGCACGCCATGAAAAGTCGACTGCACCTCCCGAGCCCGCAATCATGCTCTGCCCAAGAATGATAGCGTCGGAATACTACACACTGTCTCGTAAGAAACGGACTCCCATGCGCAGGATCATCTCCAAGGTCAAGGGGGAACTCATGCTCCAATCTTGATTCGAGCAATAACTTCAACTTAAGAGCGTCGTAGAAGCCTGCGATATCCCACATCATACTCGCCTGCGCCCAGCCTTGAATCGTAGATAGGGCCACCGTCTCGCCCAGGCAACTGCGCATCAGGGCCTCGCGTAAGGCAGACGAACCTGCAACAGCTGCATCCCAATGGCCGCCCCTATCCCGAGTCCAGCCGGCACGGCACCCACGGCAACAGCTCGACCACCGCCTCGCTAGGTTGGACAATACCCCGACGGCCCTATCGTCGCCTGAAGGTTCCCCTGCGGGCGTCGCCAAAACCATTGAGAGCTGCCAAGGCCAAGCGACCTCCTTCTCGATATGTTGAAATAGTTGCACCAATTCCAACTTGCCTCGTTCTGGAAGCCAGACCAGACCTGTCTTACCCAGCGGCTCGATGCCCTTGGCCGAGGTGCCCTTCGCCCGCCCGGCGCCTTCCCCCAGCGTCTCCAAGTCGAATGTGGGGAAAGGGGCTCCCCAGAAACAGTCGCGCGCCGTGCTCGGGGGATGCGACACCGCCCCGATACCCAACGAAGAATCAGTCCACTGCTTGCGCCAGACCATTGCGCTGATATCCATCGCCGCGAGCGGATCGGAGGAGACGATCGGCCCGCCTTCGAACTCGCCCTTCGCTGCAGGCATATTCTTGATAAGTCGAAATAGCTTGCCAGGCGCCGCCACGTACTGCACCTCAGCCCACTGCGAGAACGCCAAGTACTGCGAGTAGCATTCCATCCTTTGAAAGCTGCTGGCAATCTTGCTGCAGTCCTCCATGCACCTGCGGATGGCGCCATTCGTGGCAGAGCTTGACGTGCGAAGCTTCCTGCACCAAGACTGCTTCTCCTTCCCCAGTAAAGAGGCCAGAGTGGAAGTGGGCGCGCACGCCGTCGCGCCCCTAAGCCCGTTGATGAGCTTGCCGAACCTGGGGGCCTCACGTTTCGAGGTGGCCTTGTCGAGGTCCTCAAGCAAGAAAAGGCAATCTTAGCCCACCAATCAATCCCAAGGCCCCGTGTCCGAGTGAAAGGAGGAGAGCGCGCAACTTCTTTGATCCTGACCGAACGGGCAACGCCTCTACTACGCTCGGCTTTGCCGTCCTTGTCCAAGCCTTCACCACCTAATAGCATGCTGAACTAATCCCCCACCTTGCTGACCCACTTGCCAAAATGATGCCCCAGAAGAGAAACACTGTCTGCCGTGAGATGCCACGCGTGCGAGTCCCGAACATGTCTGGAGGTTTGGACCATCTTTCGTCGTTGGTGATGACGATCGAGCCCCACACCTCCTCCCTGTTGCGCAAAGACCACTTCTCGCCCAGCCCTCCATCAGCAGCTGGTGGAACTAGGTGTGCTCCAGGCTCGCCTAAGGCAGCGGGTCCTCTTCGCCCCGGCCCATAGGTCACAGGTAATTGAAAGGCGGCGGTGTTTTGATCCCCAATCTCTTGCGAGTTCCCAACGTTGGAACTTTGGACCTCGAAGCCGTCGGGGTAGGCACCGCCGCCAACTTTCGTGAGCGCTCACTGTTCGGGTCGGCCATTTTCTTCTGCTGATTGGGTGGCCCGACAGCCTTGGGAAGTCCCAGCGCGCGTCCTTCTGCTTCCTTCGCCTCCGGCAAGAGATCCAACGCTATGCCAGAATGGGCTTTGCCATCTTCTCCAACCAACTCTGTATCCGCGCGTGCCCGGTCGAGGTACTCAAGAACGGACCCTGGAGCCACAACGCAGTCGAGAAGAGTACCTTGCCCACCAGTGCACGCGTAATCCACACTGTCGGCAACCAAGATGCCCCCCTGCACCAAATTGAGCCACCCTGCTTTCCAAAAGGCTTCAGGTGGGAAGTTCCAGTCGCACAAGATGACCCATGGCGTGGATAACGATGGCACAAATGACGCCATATGGTGCAGCTCCTCCACACTGGCTCCTGCAATCCCCACTCCGTTGTAGAGGCAGCCGCCCAGGATCGCGATGTGAGCACCCTTCAAGAGAACCTGCATCCCCACCAAGTCTTTGAACCGTACGCCCGTGGTCATGTTCTGGTCCTTCTTGTGTGTGTCGGCTCTTTTGCCTGGTGAGTCGCCCATGTTCGAGGCCAAATGCCGAAGGGGCCAAGATGCCCATTTCTTGGGAACTCCCATTGTCACTCCACCTGCCTTCGAAGTGAAATGTGCCGATTCAGCTCCAGCAGGACAAACCATACACCTGTAGCCCGCTTCATCAAACTCCACCATCACATCGTTCGTCTCCGACATGTCCGCGTGAGTTTCCTGGATGATGATCGCGTCGTAAGGTCGTTTAAGTAGCTGGTTCGCCGAAGGTCCCCAGGTCGACATGTTGCGCATATAGATGCGGAACTTCACGCCGCCGTATTCTTGAGGTGACCCTTCTGTCTTAACTGCCTGCTTCCCTGTCCCAGCGGCCGAACCTTGGTCCAAGTCAGAGGAAGTAGTAGGCTGTGCCAAGGTAGAAGAGACCCAACTCCAAACCAAGCTGGCCCTGTCTTGAATTAGATCGCCCCCTTCACTATCCTCATCACCACCTGGTATAACCTGGCCAGGTGGTACTCGGTCTCCAAGCAGACGCTTGAAATGGCGACGAAGCTCACGCAGGTCTTGATAATGCCATCTGGCAAATCTACGGCATTGTCCCTTGTCTCTGATGCCATTGAGAGTCGTAAAGAAGAATGCCCGATGAGGTTCGGCCTGGCTCCAAGCTTCGGCGCGCATAAGCCCGGCGATCTCCGCCAATGGACGGTCATGGAAATTTTCCGAGTTGATGCACATAGCCTTCCGTGGGCGGTGTGATAGGGGATTCGATGAAATACGGTGCACACCATTCTCGCCAATGCTCTCAGCTGTTGAATCTCTCACCTCGGATATTGTGGATCCATCTTGCTGCTGAAACTGTCCTCTCATATCTTAGAAGTCGTCGTTCCCGTGCTAAGTTGTCGGCCTAGGAAACGGAACATGCGGTGGCCGTCGGCCCATCCAAATCGATGGCGTAGCGCTGCGGCCAGCAAAACGGCCGGCCGCTTGCCCCGCCCAACTGTTCTCCCAGTCATCCTGTGGATTGGGCGCCTTGGGGGCAAGTCGGTTGCCGCGACGAATGAGCCAGGACGAACCTGGATTTGCAGCTGTCGCACCAGAGAAAACAAGTTTCCAAGATACCGTCCAGCCTGACACAGAAATCTCACCCTCCCAAAAGAGAAAACAATCCTGCCCACCAAGAATGAAATGGCCGCACAACTCAAGCATCTCAACACCAAAGCTATGCCCATCGATCATCCACTCCTCAGGGGTCTCAAGAGGAGCCACCCCCTGGGACACCTCCAAGTTGAAAAATCAGCCTCCCAATCAAAGCCAGGGGTCCCCAGAGGGGCCACACCCTGGCGATCCTCTGCGAAGCCGTAGAGCGCATCTGCGTTGCCAATGCCAGGGGCCCCAAGAGGGGCCACCCCCTGGATAGCATCAGAGTAGAGGTTGAGTTTCGCCTCCCAGTCCTTGCCAGGGGCCCCAGGAGGGGCCGCCCCCTGGTGCGCCAGAAACCCATGGGTCTCAAGAGGGGCCGCCCCCTGGAATACTTCTGGGTCGAAGTAGCGCGAATCATCCAAGTCCTTGCCAGGGGCCCCAAGAGGGGCCACCTCCTGGATCGCATCTGAGTCGAAGTTGAGCTTCTCCCCCCAGTCCTTGCCAGGGGCCCCAAGAGGGGCCACCCCCTGGCGCGCCAGAAAGCCAGGGGTCTCAGAAGAAGCCACCCCCTGGAATAACCCACAGGCCGTCGAGAAAGCCGCCGTGCCCGGGGTAGCTCTGCCCGACGATCCCTCTGCGCTGCGACCTCTCCAAGGCAGGGCGGGGGCCGCAGTTCGGCCGAGGGTGGGCTGGCATCAAACACTCGGCGACGGAGTCCTCTTGTCTGTAAGGGTCTGTTCCAAGATGGCCTTGAACTCCTTCTGCTTGTCCGTCGCCACTTGATCAACTCCTTGCCAAGATGGCGGAGGCGTCGACACCGTAGCTGCCCCAGTAGTAGCCTGGGGTGCCGTAGGTGCTGCCGAAGACCCCGCAGACGCTGCCGCTGCAGCGGGCGCCGCCACTCCCGCCTCAGCTCCTTCGGCACCGGTTTGCGGGGCCCCTGGCCCTGGCGAGAGACTGCAATTGCGCTTCTTGGTAGCCTTCCAGGCACCCAATTCCTCCACGTTTTTCTGCTGCTGCTCAGCCAACGTTGCAACCATTTGACTGAACTGCGAAGATAGCGCCGCCCTGAACTCGTCCTCGAAGGACGACTTGCGCCGCTCAAAATCGACGCAATCTTGCTCCTCCAACCCCACGTCTTCGCAGAGACCGCCAAAACTGAGCTTATGTTATGTCTTCTTGTCCAAGAACTCTCGTGCGTCCAACTTCCCCAGCGCAGACCGCCGAATAGGTTCTGGGGCAAGTTCCTTGGCAACGGCATCATGCGAAACGATGGCCTCTGCCAAGCATGCCGCGCGCCCCTCGCACTGGCCCATGGCCCATGCGGAGAACATTACTGGGGGAATCAACGATGCGGCGCAGAAGAAGTTTCGGATCACTCCCTTCAGTGGTGCCGCCTCGTCTAGCAAGCCCCCGTCTAACTCCTAGCGCTGGCCAGGCCGAGGAGTGGACCCTGATCACCGCCAACGTTGGCGGCCAGATCGGGCTAGATGCCTACTTGTGTGAGCGTATTGCATCAGACGTACTCCTCGTGCAGGAGACCAGGATTCTCGCCTCGTCGGTGGAGCCGACTGAGGCGCGCCTCCGTCAGATCGGCTGGTCTGCCTCTCTCGCGGCTGCGCTGCCTGCGCTCGGCAACCCCACGGGTGGGTTGATCACGGCCACGCCCAAGAGGATTGGTCTAGGAGCGCTCGAGACGGTCTCCCATGTGCTGCAGCCTGCGCGTGCCAGTCTTCACCATGTGGGAGGGATGATTCGTGGTGGATTCCTTGTTGTGAATCTTTACTTGGTGCGCTCCGTCGGGGTGAATGAGGTCAACTGGGACATCTTGTGCCGCGTCGGCAGGGCCCTCAAGGCTGCAGGCACGGCGTTCGTGGTTGGTGGTGATTGGAATATACCTCACACTGACCTTCAGCAGACGGGATGGGTTGATGCCATGGACGCGGTCATTGTTGCCCCTGCTGGCGGTACGTGCCGCCCAGCCATGAGGTGCATCGACTTTTTCGTCGTCTCGAGGGTCATGGCAGGTGCGGCCAGGGCGGAAATTGTTCAAGACGTCCCCATTTCACCCCACGACCCTGTTAGGCTCATCTTCCCCTGTGTTGATCCCGTTGCTAGTGTCAGTTTCGTCACGGTGCCCACACGGTTCCCTCTTGAGCGCCCCATTGGGTGTCTGGGGCCCCCCGTCGAGGGTAGGTGGGAGCCCGTGGCCGCGCTTTGCGTTGATCCTCACGCCTCTGTGCAGGACAAATGGAACAGTTTCCTTCGTGCGGCTGAGGCTGAGTGGCCCTATGTCTTTCAGATAACGGGCGAGCTTGCTGATGGGTATGTTGGAAGAGACTTGCCTCTGAAGATCTCTTCTAAGAAGCCTCCCTGCCCTGGGCCTCCGAGGTTTCCGAAGCTCTCCCCGCTTGCGTGTTGGTGGCGCAAGGTCAGCGCACTTTTGTCGGACCTCGCGCGAGATCCTGCGGGTACCCATAGGCGGCAGCTGGTCTCGGCTGCCTCGCGCCTTCCAGGTGTTCACCGCCTCCCTGACAGCGCAGCGTGCGCCGCCTGGGCGGCGGTGCTTCGCCAGGTTGATCTGCTGCCGCTGCTCTCGGCCAAGGCGCTGGCAGAGCTGGCGGACGTCGAAGCCAAGAGGCTTCAGGCACAGTCGGCGCACGACAAGGCCAGGGGGTGGAACACATGGGTTGAACAAAAATCCTTCAGGGGGGATGTCGGCCTCGTTCAAGTTTTCCTCCCTTCCCATCGGTTGGCAGCCCGATGCCCTTGATCACTCCACCCTTCGCCCCTGCTCGTCGGTCGAGTCGGTCGGGGCCCTTGAGGCTGAGTGGAAAAAGTGGTGGTCCGTGGGGTCCGAGAAGCCCCCCCCCTCGCGCGGCCTGACCTTGGTGTGTCGCCTGAGCGTCCCAGCGTTGATGAGCTCGTGCGGGCTTTTAAAAGCTTTAAGCCTTATACTGGCACTGGTTTAGATCAAGCGTCGCCCCGCCCCCTTTTGCTGCTGCCCCCGACTGCGCTGGAGGCCTTGTGCGAGATTATTTCGCACATCGAGCACAAGCGAGGGTGGCCTGTCATATGGAATCGAAGTGTGTCCATTCTCAAGCGTGTGGGGGGTCTGAGGCCGCTCGGGTTGCTCCACGTGCTGGCTCGCGTTCAATGTCGCCCGAGACGTCCTCTCATTAGGCAGTGGCAGGAGAAAAACTATCGTGCCTTCTTTTGGGGCACCCACGGTAAGTCTTCGGAACGATGTGCGTGGATCCAGGCTGCCTGGTCTGAGCATTCGACGTTCAAAAATCGTAGCTGTGCCACTTTGCTTCTTGATGTAAAGAAGGCGTTCGAGCTGGTTCAGCACCGACATTTTATCCCTGCCGCGCAGGCCACAGGTTTTCCTATGTGGCCATTGTACCTCTTGGTACTGATTTTTCGGGCCCCTAGGCTGCTCGACGTTGCTGGCGAGGTTGGTTCGTTGATGGAGGTTGAGCAGACCGTTGTGCCAGGCTGTACATTTGCCACGTGCATGCTCCAAGTGGTGCTGCTAGGCCCCCTCGATGCCGTTCAGGCTACTTTCCCGACGGTCCAGCTGTCGGTCAACGTGGACGACTTCGGCCTCACGAGCTTGGGCACGGAGTCGAGAGTTGTGCTTGACATCGTCGGTGTTGGTAAGAAGCTCCACAGCGAGCTCAAGGCCGCCGACCTTAGGATTGCCGTCGACAAGTCCCGAGTGCTTGGGAACTCGCCTTCAGTCAGAGCTTCGATCGCTTCGAAGCTACGGAGCCTTCAGCCCCTGCCCGTGAGAGCTGAGAGAAACCTCGGTGTTGATTTCTCCTCTGGCCTCGCTGGAGGGGGCAAGGCCACGTCCGCCTCCCGTGTCAAGGCCATGGGCAAGAGGCGGCAGCGCATGTCGATCCTCAAGGGGTCTAAACCTCGTCGCCGCGTGCTCGGGCGCATGGCTCGAAGTACTTTGGAGTCTTCCGTGTTGCATGGGTCCGCCGTGGTGGGCGCTAACGGGCAGGAGTTAGAGGTTCTTCGAGGCGCGGCTGGTAGGCTTCAAGACCATCGCCTGGATGGCAAGTCCCGCACGCTGGCCCTGTTGCTTTCCCCTGTGCCCCGTTTGGGCCCCATCTTCAGGGCCACGTGGTTGCCCGTGAAGGCCTTCCTCCATGCCTTGTGGCACCCCTGGCTTCCCAGGGACACTCTGGACTCCGGTGTCCGCGAGGCCCGCGAGCGCTTGTCGGCTCTTGAGCACCCTTGGTCCTCCATTCGGGGCCCCTTCAGTGCCGTGTGGGCCACTCTCAAGCGAGTTGGGATCACGGCTACTTCGGCTACCTCCTGGACCTGGCCCGATGGGGCCGTCATCAATCCCGTGGACTTCTGCCCCGTCACGATCCAGGAGCTCGTGTACCGTGCCGTTGAGTGTTGGCACTTCGCCAAGGTTGCTGACCACTTGGACCTGTCTGAGTTTGGCAATGGTGTCATTCTTAGCCCCCTGAAGGCCCTACTCAGCACCAAGAGTAAGCTTACGGCCCAGCAGAGAGGCCCCCTGCGTAGTACTGTGGTTGGGGGTCAGTGGCCCCAGAAGCGTCAGTGGGCCGAAGGTTATGACACCACGTCATCTTGCTTGCTCTGCCCCCTGGCCGAGGGCACGCTGCTGCACGGGCACTGATCTTGTGCGCGCCTTGACAGCCTCGAGGGCGCCCCTGCGTTTCGTGGCAATGTAGCGCGGGCGGCGCAGTCGCCGCTAGCCCTTGTTTTTGCTGAGCGCTGTCTGGTGCCGTTTCCCGTGCTGGCCAGGCCGCCGCCTGGGCAGCTTGCGTGCTGGGGGCTTGGGGGGCCTGACGGCTTCACGGGAGACATCTACCCTGATGGATCGGTGTTCGAAGCTGAGTATCCCAGCCTTGCGGGCGCTGGCTGGGGGGTGCGTGGCGCTTCACCCCGATCGCCTTCAGGTAGTCGCTTTTTGCTCTGGCCCCGTGCTTGACCCGATGCAGTGCGTTAGTGCTGCCGAACTCGTCGCAGTCATCCATGTGCTGCGTTTCGCAGCGCCGCCAGTGCGCATGTTTTCGGACTCTGCCTTTGTCGTGGATGGCTTCCACGAACGCGGCCGCATGGCCACCACTGCTTGCGCGGCGGCACACGCTCACCTCTGGCGGGGGGTCTGGCGGTTGGTGGACGACTGGGGGGGACGGTTTCGAGCTCTCGAAAGTCAAGGGCCATGTTGCAGTAGGTGGCATCCAGCACGGGCGCGCCACGGTGCGCCACAGGTTTGGCAACATGATGGCCGACCGCGCCGCAAAGAGTGCAGCTGCCTTTGCGCGTGTACCGCGTCAGGACCGTGCGCAGCTGCTGGCACGCTCTAAGGTTGTCAAGACCTGGGGAACCTGGATTGGCCGACTCAGCGATGGGCTCGAAGATTGCGGCCACCCCAAGCGTCACAATCGTGGCAAGCCACGTCTCCCACGGCTTGTTGTTGCGCGTGATCCCGCCCCGACTGACGTTGCTTCTCGCGCGCTGGCGGCGCAGAGGCAATTCGGGGACGGAGCGCGCAAGCATGACCTCGTTAGGATTGCCCTGTGCGATGGTCCTCTGTCGTGGGCTGCGCGCGCTGCAGCAACTGTGCGGTTGCTCGTGTTGCAGCTCTCAGCCAGCCGTGCCCGCCTGTGGTCACCGATCATGCCAGGAAGGTGCTCAAGCGGCTCGGCAAAGGTGAGTTTCGCCTCAGTGCCAAGGTTTATCGTGTTGCAGCGCAGGCGCCGCTCGCTGAGCTCACCGCTGCAGACTCCCTGCACGCCTCCCAGCTGGAGGCTGGTGACGACTGTGCTGCTGATGACGTCTCGGCCCACCTTTCGGGGGCACCCCACCCGTCTGGTGAGGACGCTGGCGCCCTCTCGGAGGAAGGAGGCCTCGACTTGTCGTCGTCGTCGAGCGGGGGAGGAGGAACCAGTCTCTCAATGCCTGCTGCGGCCGCTCGCGTGCAGGCGTGCGGCGAAGCTCCGCAGGCGCCGCGCTCTTTGCCTGCTGCAGCCTCGTCTTTCGCCCCCCCGTTGGAGGCAGGTGATGCTGGCGCCGCTGCGGCCGCCGCGCAGGCTCCTCGTCGCGAGTCTGCTGCCGCCTGCGCTTCGGCAGCCCCCCTGTTGGAGGCAGGCGTGGCCTGCGCCGATGCAAGCATGGCACACCCTTCGGGGGCGCCCCAGCGGTCTGCTGGTCGCGCTGGCGCCTACGCGGAGGAAGGAGGTGTCGGGCCGACGTCGTCGTTGAGAAGGGGTGGAGGAGTTGACTCGGTCACCGCTGTGCCTGCGCGCAGGCAGCGTACGCAGCGCACGGAAGCGGAACGTGCTGCTATTGTTCAGCGACTGCTGGCAGCTGCCAGCGGTCGCCCTCGTCCTCTCCCCCACGTTTTGCTTGATGCTCTCGATGTTCATGGTCAGGAACTGCCCGACCCCACCGCGGGGTCGCGCTCTGGGGGGCAGGCCGTTGGCCATAGGGGATCCTCCCAGTGAGGGAGATCGCCCCGTGGCCCTCGGCCTGCCCCCCCTCCCGTTTGCTTTCCCTTTCGGCGGGCTCGTGCTGTGCCCCTATTTTCTTCTGGTCCCGCACAGACCTTCTGCGCGCGCTGGCGTTCTGGCCGTGCGCTTTCCTTGCAGCCTGGGGCGAAGGCTCCTGGCCAGGTGCAGGGCCACTTGCGGCCCTTGTCCGGTGTGCGTGGCTGATGCTAGGGCCGCGAGTTGCGACCTAACCGCCCCCCCGGCGCCCCTCCGCTGCTTCGGCCAGTTTTCCGGCCGCTGTCCGGCAGCAGTGGCTTGTGTTCTGCCAAGGTTCTTCCTGGGGCCTGCTGGAGCCGCGCGCGCTTGGCCGCGGCCGAAGTTATCCTTCTGTCTCCAACTGTGCGTTTATGTTGGGTTGCTAAGCACTCTTCTGATTACTCTTTCGGTTTCTTTTTTTTTCCCAACCATCCTGTGGTGTTGGGTCTTCGT